TATTTATGAATTTTACTTTTAAATCGTCCTAGCCACCGGCCTTTATTTTACAAAATTTCAAAGTACTCTGTGCTTTTCTCTAAACAATCTTTTGTTTTTCATTTCACGTTATTTTATATATTTCTATAATACTGTATTTATGACACCTTATATATAGTGCCTTATTTAGAGTACGGTTTTTATAGTACTATGTTAGGTAACACCTTTAATACGTAAAATAATACCACTACGAGTGTCGGTTTTGTGATGGGGGCGGGGGGGGGGGGGGGGGGGGGGGCGGGTGGAAATGACAAGGTAAAAACTGAAACCTTGTTCAAGCTTTACCCGCCCCAGATCTGCTGTGTGGTTTTCTACAAACAGTAATCATTTGAATACTTTGGTTCGTCTAGTTATCCAAATTTTATAGTTTATTAAAATGCGTAGGCGTTTGCTATGTTTTATGTTATTTTTTTATCTTAATCCCCCCCCCCACCCCACCCCTCAGACATGTAATTTATAGCGTCAGCCTGCCGTGTTACGTTCGCTTTAGTATTGCTGTTTTCATCATCGGCTGTAAATACTACTTATCACCCCAAAGTCAACAGTTAACATAGTCAACAATTGTTTTACCACAAATAACCATTTAACATAAATGTATGTATGTGCGTGTGTGTGTCTGTTTTTCTATTCCGTATTAGTACACCTTTCATCTAATCGCCATGAAACTTTGGGAAGTTGTTCAGATTACTCTTTGGTAGGTATCTGAGAAAAGAAAATGTTAAATTCGCATGTATGGCACCCCGACAGGGCGCTATTCTATTGTTCTATAGGCCTATATATATACTGTATATAAAAAATAAAAGTCGGATGCGGTTCAATACCGTTCATCCGAGTGCCATGAAACTTGTGGAGTGTGGGTGAGAATACTCACGAGAAGATTTCTGCGAAATAAAAAAAAATACTATTTGCGGCGCCAAGGGAGAGTGCATTTTATGTCAATTCACGTTTTGGCGACAAGAGTTCCATATCGGCTATGTTAGCACTTGGCATCCTTTAATCGGGCGTGCTGCAAAGCGGGTAAGGAGTACTAGTATATTCAGATCCAAAACAGCAACAAACGCAACCGCCGGAGCCTCGTCGATTGCGTAACCCGAAGCGCCCTGGGCTCACATGCGAGCAATATGGCGCCTACTTTCGTTTTATAAAAAAGGCTATACACTAAAGACATGATGGGAAACAACAATCGTTGACTTAATCAAATCATTCACTCCGGCTTTTTGGCAGGGGGCGATTTGGCGCCCCGGGCTTACTCGTGAGCACCATGGCACGATAGGCTATAGATACAATAGGTTGCTATAATCGCTCACTAAATGAATCAGGCGCGTCTTCGACGTCTCTGCAGGTTGCGATTTGGCGACGAGGGCTATCTTGCGAGCGCTAAGCGCCTACCTTATTTTAAGGAGCATTCTACAATACGACAATACGACATTCGATGAATAAACCAAGCGGTAGTGTAATCAGGTTCACGAGAGTGCTACTTTCCGTCCTCGACACTTAGGTTGTGAGTGATTAACGGTGATATTACGGTGAATGATTAACTTACACTAAGTTACACTCAAGGCTTTCATACAGCAGGCAATGGTGGTGGGCGGTAGTGTAGGTAACCAGTGCCGCGATAAATATGACCCAAACACAGTTTTGTTTACATTTAAGTAACTCAGTTTTATAAAAAAAAGGAAGTACTTTGGGAGTAAATAAATATTCTAATAAAATAGCGAGTGTTTATTGTTTATATTTATTATTATATCGTTCATTACCGAGTGTTGCAGACTATAAATTTTATGAGTTTTAAAAATGAAATAATATAATCTATATATATAATTCTCTTCTGGGAGACAATAGAAAACAAGCTGCAAGCGCGCCTTGCAGTCCCCTCTCTTCCTCTCTATCACTACCACCCCCACCCCCACATGGTCTGGTGAGCTGTGGTTCACGCTAAATGTTTACAAATCTTCCTTTCTAGGCATATCGTAACCACCCCCACCCCCACCCCCACATGGTCTGGTGAGCTGTGGTTCACGCTAAATGTTTACAAATCTTCCTCTCTAGGCATATCGTAACCACCGCCACCCCCACCCCCACCCCCACATGGTCTCACGCTAAATGTTTACAATCGTAGAGCCGGGTTTAGTGACGGCTATTAGGGGCAGATAATTTAGTTTGAAACGATTTTAAACTTACAGGAGGTAACAAAGAGGAGGCTGCTTTCACGGGGGGGGGGGGGGGGGGGTATGATAGGTGTTGCGGAAAGGGGGGGGGGGGGTTAGTCTTTTAAAGCAAATATTTTCAGTGGCAGCATTGGTACTGTCGAATTCACAAATTATGAATTACTGAAAAGTAGAAAATAAAACAACTAAATATCGGCGTATGATACGCCGCGGGTCGGCTCGTTATTAATATTTGTGCATGAGTTGAAGAGCCGCATCTTGACATCTAAAGAGCCGAATGCGGCTCTTTTGATATCAAGATGCGGCTCTCCAGCTCCTTGAACAAATACTAATAATCTTAATAAAAAAATAAAATATATGACATAAAAAAAATGTTAGTGGCTCTTTAAAGCCAGGAAAATTTTGAAAATTGTAACTTTTGGCTCTTCCGCTTCAAAAGGTTGCCGACCCCTGGCCTAGGACTTAGAGTATGTACTATTTTTCTATTAATTTCTTTTAAAGTAAATTAAAACAACAGAGCTACACGGAGAGTTATGACTTGAACAGAGGTGTGTATCCCATTGCTTGAACTGAACTTTTTCATCATGTCTACGATTCAATTCTTTAATTTAGCAAGCTGTTTGCAATTAAAATTTGAACCTTATAATAATCTGTAATTAGAAAACAAATGTTAAGCAATCATTTTTAAAAGGATTAAAATTAATTCTGTTTTAATTTACAATGTAAATAATGCTTTGTAGCTTTTAAAATTATTTATGATTTTCTTTGTACATTTAGCCATTTTTTAGAGCAAATTTATAGGTAATCCTTCTTGGTTAATTTAAATTTATAAATGGAAATTACCAAAGGCGAATTAATAAAATACATTTTCTTGATTAGTATATAATTCATCTGAAATTTAAATGAGCAAGTTATCCGCCTACATTTTCCATATACAAATGTATCTATGAATATAAAGGCTAACTTGGGAAAAATGTTTCTTAGTTTGTATTTAATAGTCATGTATGTGGCTACGTGTTTAAAGCAAACTGACATCTTTCATGAATAAAATAACATTGCTAGTTTGATGTTGTTTTTTGGAGGCGTTCGAAAACAGGTACTTCCTTGTCTTCTCTACAGTACCGTTATAACCCTTTGTAGAACACATTTGATCCTGAAAATTAACATATTGCTGAATAACTAATATTTTATTGCTTAACGCTTATATTATCTTTTCAAAGTAATTCAACATTAACATAAAGAGTTAAACCTGAACCGAGATTCTATCAAAAAAACTTTCAATAGTTAAAAAAGAACAAGTTCGCTATCAAGGTATGCAATCTTTGCAGTGATTCATTTAATGCAGGTACAGTAGTATGGATCTAGTAGTTATATTCGATATCCAACATGTTGGATTCGTTGCTTATCATGTGTTTATTAGATTCGATGATTTGTGGGATTCACTATGTTCAATTACTATATAGCCTAAATACTTATTGTATTTATTACATATTTATAGTACAAATTTAAAGTACCATATTTTTATAATACCGTATTTTTAGCTACCGTATTTTTCTTTATTTAAAGTACCGTATTTATAATGCAGTATATGGTAACTATGTATACGTATATCAGGCTTTCAGGCATAGAAAAAAGTGTCGTAAAATATAAAAACATGCCAATGCCGAGGTCAGATTAAGGGTCACGTTCAAACTTAATTCCCCGACTGGCCAATAAACAGCTATAGTTGATTTATCTGTAACAGAGACCTTCAGGTTTCTAATAATCAAATTCGGAAATGTTCAAATGTTTTTTATTCAGATAAATATTCTTTCATCTTTTGCTTGACCGTAAGTAAGTTCCCTTTTCAAACTTGACGGTCTATGGGGTAAATGAAGTAGAGTTCACTTGTTTCCGTGACCTCGGCATATGAAGAGATGTTGTGGTCAGCACTATGCCCAGCCGCCTTTACTTTTCCTAGCGTGAGTTAGGTACCCATCAGAGTTGGGATGACTCAGGGACGGTCTACTGACTTGAACAAGGTTTGGAACTCGAGACTTACGGGTTAGCAGTCTCTACCGCTAGACCACTTTGCTTGACCATAACTTTCATTAAATTCTCTTCATCAACAGCAGCCACTCATAGACTGCAAAGTTTTGGAGTCATCCGTAAAATACGTCACACTTCTAGGCACTGTTTCTTTGTGTCACCCCCCCCCCCCCCCCCCAACACCGAGAATAAAAGTCTAAAGGAAAATCTTCTTCTACGGGGAAGGGGATTTGTATTTTTGTAACTGTGTGCTAAGGGGCAGGGGGGGGGGGGAAGGGGCTGAGATAGTGGCGTCATACTTTTGTATTTATATATTGCATTAGAAAACTGTTTTCGTAAATAGAGATAGAAATTGATCAAAATACTCTATGTTGATCGAGGTCACTGAATATTTTTGAAAGAAACCGATGTTTTAAAAAATATTAAACAGCAATTTTGAGTGAGCGGGGGTGGTATGCTGTGGTGTGACGTAATTTTAGGAGGGGTTTGGGTTTTTGTGACGAGGTGTGGCGGTGGGGAGGAGTGGATTTTAAAATCCTCCAAAAAAAAGTGTGACGTTTTTTAAAGGACGACCCAAATAGGAAAAAACATTGCAGAATTTGGATTTTATTCAAATTAAAGAATAAATTAGTGATTCGTGGACTTTGTTTTTGGGGACCGGCTACATTTATTTATGTTGATATTGTGGTCCATACGTGACAACATTTATACATTCTTCATGACACATCATAAATAATATAAACATTTGTTTTAAAGTGACGTCACCACATGACCCATCGAAGCTTCTGGACAACCCTCCGCTCCTCCATGGGGACTTTAGGCACGTCCACCAGCACACAGCTCACGTTGGACACGTCACCTGCACGTGCATGAGCAGAAAACACACCAGTTACTGTAAGACTTCGACTTTTGTGTTGAAGACGAAATAAATATATATGTACAACATATAAGTACATGTGTACAACACAACAATGGTGAGTAGTTGATGGTGATACGTAGGGATATATAAATAAAGTGAGACTGCTATGATATAATTGATATGTATAGGGAAATGAAAAGTGAGACCGCTTTGATACGTGTAAGCATATGTAAATAAAGTGAGGTTGCTATGATATATGTAGGGATATGTAAATAAACTTAGATCGCTATTGTATATGTAGGGAGAAATAAATAAAGTTAGACTGCTATGAAATATGAAGGGATGTATAACTAAAGTGAGACTGCTATGAAATATGAAGAGATACGTGAAGTGAGAATACTTTGATACGTGTAAGAGTATGTAACTAAAGTGAGGCTGCTATGATATATGCAGGCTTATGTAAAGTAAGATTTGTTATTTGTATAAAGCTTAATAAGTGAGACAGCTATGCTACGTGTAGAGATATGTATTTAAAGTGAGACCACAGTTAGTTATGGTGCAGTATTTTTACCTTATAAATTAAGTTTATCTACAACCCCTCCCTACAGAGTTTCTTCCACACATCTCTTTGAGGGGGGGGGGCAATTCTGGCCCCGAAGAAAGTCTACCGCCCCCCAAACGAAATGAAATTTATATAGAATATATATACTTTTAACAGTGTCCACCCCCCACCCCCCCCCAATAAGTCTACCCCCCCCCCCCCCCCCCGAAAATTTTAGGTGCCTCCCTAGGGGAAAAATGTCTGGAAGAAAAAAAAGTTTACATTTCTTGAAGAGGAAATCATCCTGCCATATGCCCTTGACCAGGTCAAAGTGTTCTGTCATTAGAACCGGGTCACCTGTCTCGACATTTGACCCCCCGATCACGTGGATCTTGTCACCTGTCCAAAAAAATTAATTTTAAAATCTCCTTTTTTAAAAGAACAAAAACAGAACCTGGTAAATCTAGGGATAGCAACCCATCTAAGAGAGAAAACTCCAAAATAAAACAACCACTGCTTTTTTTTGGTGGAGAATTGTTTGTATTTGTTGGGTTATTTCCTTTTCCAACGCCGTTATAAACCCCATAACCAACTTTACTTCCAAAGTTATTTCAAACACTATTACTAACAACACCCTTATATTAAGTTATATGATCAGCCTTACATTACTATTAAGTTATATATTCGGCAATCCTCTTCCATTATGTAATGGGCCCTACACTACTATTAAGTTATGTAATGGGCCCTACACTACTATTAAGTTATGTAATGGGCCCTACACTTTTATTAAGTTATATGATAGGCCATACACAGGCCCTTTTGCAATCTCCTCGGCACAAGATTAAACAAGCGGGGCGTGAAAACAAGAGATATAGAATACCAACACAGGATCGAGCACTTCCAGAGTTTCTTCCAGGCACCTCTTCGGGGGGGGGGGGGGGGGCAAAGCCCCCCCGAAAAAAACATTTACCGCCCCCCCCCCCCCGAACGAAATGAAATTTATATAATTTATATAGAAAATATATACTTTTAACAGTGTCCGCCCCCCCGAAGAAGGTCTACCGCCCCCCCACCGAAAATTTCAAGTGCCCCCCCCCCCGGACAAAAAAGTCTGGAAGAAACACTGCTATTTAAATTGCTATAAAGAAAAGCGTGGGTCTCTTCCTAAATATTAGTAAATGTATCAAATATATAAAAAAGTGATCCACGCTTTTCTTTATAGCTATTTTAATAGTAGTTGGTCTTTTTTTCTACTTGATAAAAACAAATTATAATTTTTTTATAACTAAGGAATTTTCACCAGTTCATAATAGATACTTGATTGAAGACTTGCATTATGTACAACTTAAATATTTCATAAAGGTAAATGTTTTTAATTTAGACTAGAGTCAATAATAAGTGTAAAACCAATAAAAAAAGTAAACCCAAATTAATTATAAAGTAGTTTTAATATTGACGTTTGATTAAATATCAAACAATGAATCTTTTTTAAAGAAATTATATTGCATTTGAATTTTCTGTATTATTAACAGTTTTTAATGAACAATTGATGTATAGCCTCCCTTGTTTTGAAGTTGTAAATAGTAAGCGGGATGAAAATATGGATATTTAATGATAATTAAAACAAAATTTCACTATTGCAATACTTTGATTATCAAAATATCAAAATATATGTATATTTTTGTATTTATATGTTTTTATGCAATGTTCACATTTGTAAAACAATTTTTATAGGGTTGGTTCATAAATACCGTCACACTCGTAAGGGGGAGGGGGGTCCGTAGTTCTGTGACTGTGTGTGATTAGTTAGAAGGGGGGGTTCAAATGGTTAGCGTCACACTATTTTTGCTTTATAAAAAAAACAATGTTTAGAGAACGAATTTTAGCCGTTATTTCGCGTCTTAGAAAACTGTTTTAATAAATTGTAAAAGGAATCGATTAAAATACTCTAAGTTAACAGAGTTCAGACAAGATTTTGGAAAAAATATCGTATTTTAAAGAAAATTCAACTTCGATTTTGAGGGGGGGGGGGTTGTAGGCTGAGGTACAACGTCATTTTAGAGGGTGTGGTTTGGTTTTTTTTGTGACTATATTTGTCGGAGGGGAGGGGGAGGTAAAAATCGTCCAAAAAGCGTGACGTCATTTATGGATGACCCTATAGGCTACTGAGAGTGCCAGCAATAGATTTTTTTTTACTAGCAAAGCGGGCTGGTGACTAGATAATTCATGTAAAACTACTGCAGACAAGAATCTATCTTTGTTGTTGTTTTTTTGTGTACATGAATTCTTCTTCTTCTTCGTTCTTAATTGAGAATATGGTGGAGGTAGGGCCTACATGAATTAATATAGCGGATTTCAGCTATTCTTGCATCATTTTATTTGACAAATTCGTGCACAAATGTTGAAATGTCAAACGAATCACTGTTTCCATATACAGTGTTTCTTCCACATTGTTTTACTTCGAGGGGAGGGGGGGGGGACTTGAAATTTTCAGGGGGAGGTGGGGGGCGCACTTAAATTTCCAGGGGGGGGGGGGGTGGGCACTGTTAAAAGTATATATTTTCTATATAAATTCTCGCTGAGAGGGGGGGGGGGGGCGGTGGTTTATACTCAAACCAATGTTATACAATCTGTAAAATATGTTGAAAGTAAGGGAAAACAGGTACTGATGAATTTTGTTTGTTTCTTTTCTTAGCTCAAAATTATTAATTCATCTGAGTTTCACCTGTAAATTATTTCATATTGGCTTTTATTCATTGATTCAAGTATTTTACAAAGCTATTTTTACTACCTAGTTAAAAAAAAAGTTTTTAAAAAAATTATTTCTGTAGTTTTTTTGAAGGTCATCAGTAGATATCACGTTTGTTGTTGAGCCACCCCCCCCCCATGGACGAAATGAGGGGACATAATATATAGAAAATATATACTTTACTTTAACCACAGTCTTCCCCGCCCCCCCCCCCCCCCCCCCCACCCTCGGGGAAATTTTAAAATGTGTCCGAAAAAAAAAAACCCAGTTAAAGGGCAACTGTGACTACAGGCTATGTGTAAACAACAAAATCTTATCTCTTAAGAAATATCATACATCAGTAAAATACCTCACTATTACATAAACTAATGTTTACTGGCACATAAATGTCTAAACAGACTGCGAAATGTAGATCTTTATACTAAAAAAATAAATATTACTTACCCACAGTAACCGCCCCTGCATTTTGTCTTGCGTGTCTCATGGGTGGTAACTGTGTATTTAACGTGGATACACTGGGTTGCCGCCCTTTGACCGTAGCGCCTGCTGGAGCAGTTGTATAGGAGAACATTCTTTTCTCAGACTGTGTCACGGTTAGGGGAGAGGACGGTCTTCGCTTGGTGGGGTGGTGGTCTTTGGACGATACCCCTGGGGGTGAGAGGGTTTTACTTCAACAGTCAGGTCTGGTAACTATTTAATTACCAACAGGGCAGTAGTGGTCATATTTTTTTTAAGTGCAATGGTGAAGATAATTTACTCCTACCGTAATTAGACCCTTGCCCATAAACAGAGTTTCTTTCAGGCGTCTCTTCGCCCCCCCCCCCCCCCCCCCCCCCCGAAATTTTTTTACCGCCCCCCCCCCCCGAACGAAATGAAATGTATATAATTTATATAGAAAATATATACTTTTAACAGTGTCCGCTCCCCCCATCTCCCCCCCCCGAAGAAAGTCTACCACCCCACCCCCCCCCCCCCCAAAATTTCAAGTGCCCCCCCCCCCCCCCCGGAGAAAAAAGTCTGGAAGAAACACTGCCCATAAACCTAACCAAAACAAGCTCTATCCCAGTACCTAGCCACAGCCATAACCCTTCCATCAACAACATGAAGGAAAATGACATTGATTCGATTCTCTGTTTCCCTATTAGAGACCGAAGTGCCAAAAACAACAATGAATCAGCATCCCGCAGGCTCAATTACTTAACCAATCAATAGTTTAGCAAACTAATGTGAAGAGCTTAGAGGTAGAGAGATTCTGATGCTTTCCTGTTATACGCATAAAGGAGAAATTATTAACTCACATCTATAGTCTTGCAGAAAACCATACTATATATATATATATATATATATATATATATATATATATATATATATATATATATATATATCAGTAGCGTAGCGAGGGGGGGGCGGAGGGGGGGGGGGCGGGGGGGGATATGTCCCCGGGCGCCGGCCTTAGGGGGGGCGCCAAATTGAAAGTTTGAGGGGGGGGGGGGTGCAAATGAAAAGTTCGAGGGGGGGTGCAAATCGAAAATTTGCTCTCGAGGGGGCGCCAAATTGGAAGTATGTCCCCGGGCGCCGGGAAGGGTCGCTACGCCTCTGATATATATATATATATATATCTATATATATATATATATATATATATATATGCCTTTTTGAGCTTGACAATGTTGATTTATTGTTCTCATATTTACATTTTTGCATGAGGTGGCTGGTGTTCAACCGACCCCCCCCCCCCCCCCCCCCCCCCCTCCGACACACACATATAACCTTGACCTAACGTTCCGATGTATTTCGTAACTTACACATCCCTAGTCCTAACTCTAAACTTAACCGAATTCTTTCCACTCATTCTCTCTATAGCTCTAGCTAATACAATACTTTGATCAAGTTGACGTCACCTCCTATAAAATACAAAGTGTTTTTCGCCCTTGTCAGCGCACATCTGTGAAGATTGTATGGAAGACCGTGTGGGTTATTTTTGCCGATTTCCTGCCATTTGTGTTTGTCATACAGCCTACAGTAGAAAATAAAATAAAATTGTATCTCAATGTACTTCAGTCAACGAATTTCTTTAGCAGAGAAATTTCTTTGAAGAGAAAACACTTCAATATGGGTAGAATAAGTATTAATAGGATTTCGTCAGGAGTCGTCTATAAATGACGTCACTTTCGTAGGTGGGAGGGGGGTCAGTAATTTTGTGACGGTGTGTGATCAGGGTGGGGGGGGGGGGGGGGCGCTCAGATTGTGTGACGTCACACTTTTGCATCATAAAAAAGCAATGTAAGAAAACGAATTTTAGCCGTTATTTTGCGTTTTAGAAAACGGTTTTAATAAATTGTAATAGGAATTGATTTAAATACCGTATGTTAACAGAGTTCAGACAAGATTGTGGAAAAATATCGTATTTTAACAAAAATTCAACTACAGTTTTGAGGGGTGGGGGGGGGGGGGGGGGTTGTAGACTGATGTGTGACGTCATTTTAGGTGGGTGGAGTCTGGCTTTTTGTGACTATGTGTGACGGCAAGGAGGGGGGAGGTAAAAATCGTCAAAAAAGCATGACGTTATTTATGGATGACCCCTCAATAAATGAAGTCACGATGATGTTACGGTAACTATAACTATTGTCCTTGTAAACAACGTCAGACTAATTACTACCAGCAAGGGAATGTAGGACAGAAATTTTAAGTGATTCAAATAGAAAAAATAACAATTCACACATTACCAGAGGTTGTTATGAGCCTTCCCTCCGTTGTATCCTCCTACACAAATTAACTCTTTGCCGTTGTTTGCGCATGCGCAGCCAGACCGAGGCGACACGAGAGATCCGCATTTGGACCAGAGGTTAGTTTCCGGGTCATAGATCTCACAACTTCCGGTGACTTTACCATCGTCGGTCTCTCCACCTAGAACCACACATATATTATATGGCACTTGTATGTCTTAGAGGGGGATGTAGAGTGAGAAGGCAGAAGAGAGCAGAGGCGTAGCGACCCATTCCGGCGCCCGGAGCGAAATATCAATTGACTTTTTTCGGGAGGGGGCGGACACTGTTAAATGTATATATTTTCTATATAAATTCCATTACGTTCCGAAAGAGATGCCTGGAAGAAACTCTGGCAGTGCCGGCGCCAGGTTATAAAGCGCCCTAGCCAAAACTTATTAAAACGCCCCCTTTCACTTAAATTACTTACTAAAACATGTATAAGAAAACAATTAATTAAAAGTGACATATTCATTTATTATCAATTGCATACGCATCAAAAGTAGACATCAAAATCAAACTTTACTTGCTTCCTTCGTCTCAAAAGTTTGTACTAAATCCTTCAATTCCAGTTGGCAAGCGTAATCACATTCTATTAAAATTGTCCACGAGTGTACTTTGTACTTTACGACATAGCCCCCACCCCTTCCCCCCCTTAGAAAATTTCAAGTGCTTACCCCCCCCCCCCCCCCACTCCTAGGAGAAAAAAGTCTAGAAAAAAAAACACGGGGAAAAAACACAGTTCTTTTAGTGTTGGGCTCTCTGCAGACCTCCCAATGTGAGTTCCAGGACGGAGTGTACCTATTTTAAGCTTGACTGTTTTTAGTTATAATTGTAAAATGTCTATATTGTATAATTATGTTACGATTATTTTTTTTTTTGCTTTTGAAAAATTAAAGGTTATAAATGTTATAGATTTCAGCCTACAATTGTTATATATAAATCCTTTAGGAGAGGATGAATTATATGAAAAAGACAATTAATTAGATAATTAATTAGACTTAGACTATTTTAGACGCATTTGTTGCACTATCTCATATTGTATGTCTACTAACATTAGGTATTGCAATCTACAACGGCTACTGATATATTTGTTTTTCAACTGGATAATGCTAAAAAATCATACCAAACTTTTTTGTTTGGAATTTCTGCTCTATAATTTTAACAAAAGCAAATAATAACTTTAAGTTGTATTTATATGTCAGCGGTGCATCTAAGATGCAGGAATTTGAAACGAATGTAAAGTTAAGCAACAAATTATCTCCCATTAGGAAACCCAAATAACAAAGTTTAATACAAGGGAAATAACTTTCACAAGAATAGCTAAATTAACCAAGGGTAACTAAGGCATGCTCGAAAAACACAATGAAACGGTTTAAATTTCATTACGTAATAATTATAATAAATCTTTTATATTACCTATGTAATTATGTCAAAACAATATATTTTACTTATTAACTACTTAACTGTAGGTTTTGCTTGAAAGTTTAAACACGTTAGTTTTATTAGAAACATACTTCTAATTAATATTGATGACATACATACAAGTGTAGTTCGTTCATTTACTAAAATGCAAAAATTTTGGATCCCCTGAATAAGGGGACGCCTTTTTTTAAAAAAATCAAATACAGGAAACTGTTAACTTTAAGACATTGCCTTAATTATTGATTAAATATTAAAAAAAAAGTATGATTTGAAAAAAAAAAAACAAAGCATACGGTAAATTATAAATTCCAGCCTATGTAATATTATATATTAGTACTTTAAGAGTGGTAATATAGATTCCCAAAAAAACTAAAGATTGTCAGCAAGAGAACGCCTATCTTTCTTTGTAGTGTGTTCCGTCCTGAATTGAAATCATCAAACTTACGATAAACTCGACTACTCGATAGACTTTACTACATTAACAACACATACCAAACTTTAATACCTAAACATAACTAGACTTGATGCTCCAGAACTACGACACCAAATCACTTAACTTCACCAAGCTCTACAAACGATACTCCCAATCAACAACGATTTAACTGGACCTACTACTACACATTAACAGTCAATACCTTAATACCACAAGCCTCGATAGTCCCGCACTCCAGAACTACGATACCTCATCACCTACATTCTCATTTCACTACTACCAATCATTCCACAAGACTTTTAACTACACAACAGCCAAATAAAAAATACGACACTTTAACACTTCCATACTTTATAACCTACGAAACCATATCAGCAACATCCTTCCGCCGTTACTCCCAAATCTAAACGATTCATCAAAACTTACCAAACAAGTGCAATACTTTGAACACCCCTTCCTTACAAAACTCAATACACCAGAACAGATTTCTAATTCAAAGTCAGAGAAATCGAGACATACAAGCCCTATTAAAAACCAAAATTTCTCGTGTTTTGGAACGCCCCGATCATGCGCTGGAGCGATCACTAAATCAACATTAAAACTAGATAACCGTTTTGAAATGTTCGAAATTTAAATTACGAACTTATTTGTTTTCTACATCAATTATGTGAAACCAAAATAAAAAGGCAAAGTGACTGGTAAAAAGCGCCCTGATATTTCCATAGTAGTGACGTATGGGTGCATTTTCACCAACGCTAATAAATGTAGGCCTATATAGGCCTAATTTTGGGGTGGGGGTGCAAAATTGATAATTCGTCCTGGGTGCCGAAATAGATCGCTACTCATTTCTTTATTACCCTGTCTATCTATGTATATAATCCTCTACATGACCGTATCGATCCCACCCCCACCCCACCAGTCTGGTGAGCTGTTTACAATCGTAGTGACGGCTATTAGGGGCAAATAATTTAGGTTTTAACGATTTGAAATTAAGGGGAGGTAATACCATGTTCTGCTTGCTCTTTTCATTGTTGTCTGTAAACTGTCGTCACGGACGGCTGCTTTCACGGAGGCGGGGGGGGGGGGGGGGAGGCAGAGGAGTGGAAAGTGAGGGTGAGGATAATCGTCCTTCACTAGTTACTGAGCAAAATATTTTCAGTCACAGCATTGGTAGTGTCGAATTCACAAATAATGAGTTACTGAAAAATAGGAATTAAACTAAATAGCGGCGTATGCTACGTCGCGGGTCAGCTTGTAGTTTATAAAAGATAATCAAAGTTATTAATTATTGGGTACTTTTTGATAACAGCGATTAAACCTTTTGCGCCCCCCCTAGTTATGGCGCCCTTGGCGACCGCCTAGTTCGCCTAATAGGTAGCGCCGGCCCTGAGGTAAGGGCATCAACTCAGTGTACGTAGACCACTGAAAAAAGTAAAGATTCCTCTTCAGACATAGCAATCCATTGGGTTCATGTTTCTTGACCTCGGCTATGAAGGGATGGTGTGGTCAGCACTTTGCCCAGCCCCTTTACTTTCCCCAACATAAGTCAGGTACCCATCTGAGCTGGGTGGACTCAGTGACGTCTTACAGTCACAAATCCGAACGAGATCCGAACTCGAGACCTTCGGGCTAGCAGTATAAAACTGCTCTGTAATTATAAATCTGTTCTGTAATTATAAATCTGTTCTGTAATTATAAATCTGTTCTGTAATTATAAAACTGTTCTATAATTATAAAACTGTTCTGCAATTATAAAACTGTTTAGTAATTATAAAATTGTTCTGTAATTAGAAAACTGTTAAGTAATTATAAAACTGTTCTGTAATTATAAAATTGTTCTGTAATTATAAAACTGTTCTGTAATTATAAAACTGTTCTGTAATTATAAAACTGTTCTGTAATTATAAAACTGTTCTGTAATTATAAAACCCATTTGTAAGTATAAAACCGTTCTGTAATTATAAATCTGTTCTGTAATTATAAAACTGTTCTATAATTATAAAACTGTTCTGCAATTATAAAACTGTTTAGTAATTATAAAATTGTTCTGTAATTAGAAAACTGTTAAGTAATTATAAAACTGTTCTGTAATTATAAAATTGTTCTGTAATTATAAAACTGTTCTGTAATTATAAAACTGTTCTGTAATTATAAAACTGTTCTGTAATTATAAAACCCATTTGTAAGTATAAAACCGTTCTGTAAGTATAAACTATTCTGTAAATATAAAACTATTCTGTAAGTATAAAGCACTGTTATGTACTTACCACAGACAAATATTCTCCCTTTAACAACACAGACCCCAAATTTACATCTGGCCATAGACATGCTTCGACATTCGAACCATTCGTCAGTACACGGGTTGTATCTGAGGACGAACGACTCGATCAGGTGTGATAACTCTTGTCATTATTACAGTAAGGGGGGCAAAAAAATGCATTTTGTCGTACCAAGAAAATGGCTTACTAGATTTTCATTGACCATAGCCCCTTACATTGCATGATTTTTGTCAATTTTAGTAACTTTCTTACGACTCAATTCTAAATGCAGTTAATTTTTGGAGGTAATTTTTATACCAGTATCCGATAATAGAATCTTCTTAAAAAGGGGGTGTTAGGTTACTGGTAGTTAACTAAAATACACACATAGCTTGCTAATATCTGTAATCGTCGTAGACCTCCACCCCCACCCGACACACAACTAAATGCAGAATCACTCACCTGACGACTCTGGTCAAACAACGACCTTGAACTTTGTCGAAGCCGCCCAGGATGTAGATGGACTTCCCAAGGGTGACCACTCCGAAATCCGCCACCCCGTACGTCTGCTGCCACTTCTCGATGTGCACGCGGTACGACACGATGGCGGAAAAATTTTCCGTGAGGAGGAGGTAACTCACTTCACCCGACCCGGTACGGCTAACCACGTACAGTCGTCGTTCGATCATAGAGTCGCCTCCCTTGCTGAACCTGACGTCATTTGGTGACGTGTTTTCTGCTACACTCTTTGAGGCGTTCTCCACAAGAATGCGCGCGGCCATGACTTCCGTTGACGTCATGCTGGTTTGTTCAGCGGCTGACATGTTTAGGTCATTGAGACGAAATCAGTAATTATTGTAATTAATTAACTTCCCAATAAAGATAATGTTATTTCTCACTTTTTACTGTGACCGATTTAATACTTGAATTCTGAAATTTTAAAAATAAGCAACAGAAAGTAACATTGATATTGTTTTATATCAAACATTTTTAAAAATAATACAAATCGCAATTTGAAAGCGATAAGTATATGTATATATATATATATATATATATATATATATATATATATATATATATATATATATATATATATATATATATATATATAGTTTTATAAAACTACATATTGATAAATATACAGAGAGTAAAAAAGTGTGGTTAATATTAAAAATGACTGGGTTGGATCCGAAACCACAACTTTACATTGGCATCATATCACCAGAGTTTCTTCAAGGAATCTCTTCAAAGGAAGACCGCACCCCCCCCCCCCCCCCCCCCCCCCGAAAATTTTAAGTGCAACCCCCGGAGAAAAAAGTCTGGAAGAAACATTGCATATCACCATGATGAAAAAATAACGAATGAATTTAAAAAACTCTGCAGTCAGCAAAGACCTAACTGAACTGAAGCCGTTTTTAAACTGCTAGCGACCCCGTGTTTTATCGATTAGAGTGTACTGGCCCTATCACTTTCCCAATGCCGCAAATCTTCACAGCTACCGTGTCTGTCTGGCAGACGATATCTCCTGGTATTGACGTTGGCTATGTAATCGATATTGCGATAATTCTGGGCCGTTATTCCACCCGGATTAGCTGTTGCCACTGCACTGGATATGAGATCGTTTTAATTAAACATAGTCTACACAAGTCTTCGAGTTAAGCATGTTTGTTGCGACATGCAGGGGAATTAAAGACTAGCTGGAGACGTTTTTAACCACCGCACTTAATTCAGTTTTTAAAAATCTCGTGCGAAAAAAAAAAAAAAAAAGAAAAAAGACTTTCCTCATAGATTTTTACAACAGTGAGAGAAGTTTTGACCTAGTCCTAGCCAGCGTTTCTCTTCAGACTTTTTTTTTCGGGAGATGTGGGGGGTGGGGTGGGGGGGTGGCACTTGAAACTTTTCCGGGGTTGGGGGGGGGGGCGGTATCCGACGAGATGCTAGCGGTGGACTGGCAGTGTTAAAAAGGGTCAGGCAAATTAGCAATTTTAATTGGCATCCCCCATTTACATACCTGTGGCCCATAGCAATTTTTTTCCACGGTAGATCGGCGGGCCAGCCCACCCCTAGTTCTAGCAGTTTAATTTTTACAGCATGCGGTGAAGTACAAGACAAGAATTTCTTCAAGTTACGGTCGACTTTCGAACCACAGATCACGCTTCGTAATTCAAATCCGTTTCAAATCGATTTTCCTTTTCGTAACCCTAATTGTTCGTATTGGGGGCAGCACAGTGTTTT